ATTGAATCATATCTGTTATTAACCTCTGTCTCTCTTCCACAGCATGTCTTTATCCTGAATCACAATAATCAACAGCAGCTTTACTGCTACTCACGACTTTAACTTTAATAACAGATTTGTCACATTGGTAGATCATAATTTATTGATTGCCTTCCTATATTATAGCAATTATATATTGTTAGTTATATTGTAGATGTTTGATTTCAATATCTACAACTACAGTGAATACAATGGTATTTATGTTAGTCCAAGCTTGCATGATGGTGGGTTGTTTGTTCTCAAATTAATCATAAATTACATATTTATACATTTATTTTCTTATGTTGTAAATTTGCACTGTACGGTCTCTTATTTCTTTTTTATGTTATATTCTGGACGTCTGTGTGACCCTGCTCCATCTGTCTGTCTCTGCTGGAACACATGAATCTCCCCAATGAGGAACAACAAACGATATTTCTGTTCTACTCTATTTCTATTTGTACATAATATCAGAATTATTTAAAAAATAAAACCCCTCAGTGGGTAAATATTATCAGCTCCCTGACACACACAGACTGATTGCTGATTTTCACAAAGTGGGAAATGGATATACGAAGTTATCACAACTTTTCCAAAACTGGAGTGAGAAGGATCATCAAGAAATTCAAAGAGAGCTGAAAGTACTGAACAAACTACTGAGAGATGCGTTTAAAGACCCCAGCAGACAGCAGTGAATGACTTCGCCAAGTTGGGAATTGTAGTCTCAAAGAAGAAGATCCCAAGAACCTTAAACAGGAACAGACTGACAAACTGGGAATCTTATCAAGATGGAAGGAATCAAAATATGTCACAGAAAACCTTAAGTCAGCAGCAAAACTACGTCAAGGTCATTGCTTTGTCTTCCAACATGACAACAGCCCAAAACATACGACACTCCTGATGAAGAACTTCCTGTGCAGGTCCAAAGTGAACAGACAGTCAGCCTCCTATTGAAGCTCTGTGGGGTGAAGAACAAGGTCCATGCCAGAGAAGCCTGAGAGATTTACCAAAGAAGAATGGGCTGAGCTGATCATTTATTTCCACGGTAGTTTTGGTATTTGTGAAATAATTTTGTTTCTGTGGGCAAAGTAAAATATCTTGATGCATGCTCAATCATCCAGGTAAGTAAATCCCAAAAGGTTGATTCTGTTCATCTGGACATTTTGTCCCTCAACCAGGTGACTTCCTCCGTCTCAGCTGACTGCAGGTTTCCCCAACATTCCTCGGGCAAAGTAAAATAATGTACGAATCCAAATGAAATAAGGATGTTTGTAAAAGCTGCATTAAAAATTCCTCGCTCTATTTAATAGCACTTGTGTCATAGTGAGGGCTGGTTTGTTTTGAGTTCCTCTCACACCTCCAACTTGATCACACTGCAGGTACTTTCTTTCCCTTTGGATGGAGGTCTGGATTTCCCATTCTTTAGCGGCACACCTGATTGTCATCTACTTCAACAACGGCAGTAAAAGAGGACCAGCTGTGCCATCGAGTATCCGCCAGACAGTCAGCCTCTGAACAGGCCAAACTTTGCT